ATAAAGCTGTTGAGACGACTGTTGTTTGGTGTTTCAGTGTTCATTCGGGATGCTGCACGAGGCCCAGCGCCTCAGGATGGACTGTCCGAGCTGTAAGAAGAGCACCTGTTCTCGGTGCAGATCACCTGTAAGACACTCACGCACACACACAGGTGAACCAGCCTCAGATCGGGTCCTGACCACAGTCCCTGTGTTCTGCAGTGGTCCCCCGAGCATCAGGGTCTGTCCTGTGAGCAGTTCCAAGTGTGGCAGCAGCAGAACCAGCCGGACCCTCACAGCACCTCCCTGCTGTACAGCAGCATCGGTACGAGCCCAGAACCAGGTCCAGGAGACTCTCAGGCCTCCTGCAGGACCTGAACCTCATGTTTCACCCCATCACTCAGGTGGTTATGAGCAAGCAGGTAGAAATGGAAGCAGTCAGCATGTGACTGAAGGCTTTTTACTCTTGCTGTTTACAAACTAACACATGAGGCCTTCAGTCACCGAAAGCGTGACGCTCAGAGGACTTGAACCGGTCCAGTCAACGGTCGGCGTGGGTGTTCTCGCCAAAAAACCCAGGAAGCAGTGCCTGGGGGCTCTGAGCTGACACACCTGGTCTGCGCTGGTCTCCAGCTGCTCCATTAACGTTTAGCATGAACAGAGGACACGGTGGCTGCTCAGGCGTAGAGCAGGTCATCACTGATCGAGTGGTTTGATTCCTTTCCCGTAGTCTGCATCCTGGGACACCATGTTGCTCTCCGATGCATCCATCCAGGGAATGTGATGAATGTTAGATGCTAACGCTAATGCTAACAGGAAAAGTGCTTGTGTGAATGAGTTAGTCGTATAAGAACATCCATTTACAAACGACCGTCCAAATGTTGATCGTGTCCTTCTGGACGTTTCCACCATCAGGTGACTTCTTCAGTGTCAGCTGACTGCAGGTTTCAGCCTTATGTTATAAATGTATTTACATGATGAAACCAGCTGAAGGCTGTGAGGTCAGCTTATGGTCATTAATATGCAGATTGCCACGCCCACTGATCAAAGAGTCCCATTCAGGGTTGGGATTGGCTGCATTCACAGCATTGTAGGTAGGATGGTGGCCCCCTCCTCAACGCCGAGATGGCCTTACGTCTTTTCACTCGACTCCTCGCTCAAACCGGCGATTTCCCTACCTGGACGAATGAGGTTCAGTCGAACTCAGCATGGTCCTGGTCCAACGTTTCCCTCTGTGTCCTCAGAGTGTCCAAACTGCCAGCTGGTCTTCAGCCTGTCCAAAGGGGGGTGTCTCCACTTCACCTGCAGTCAGTGCGGTCATCAGTTCTGCGGCGGCTGCAGCCAGCGCTTCGTTCTGGGCTCGGTGAGTTCCAGCTGTGCTGTAAGCTCCAGGTGTTTGGTCAGAGAGAGATGGATTGTGGGTAGCGAGTGTTAGACGACTGAAAGGTGTTTCATATTTACATCTTTATCAAACGAGCCAATCGCAGCGTCACCTTATAAACGTCTGATTATGAGTAAAGGCGCCTGTTCTGATTCTTCATGCTGATGAGTTCTTTAATGTTTTTGAAGTTAACGAGACAAAGGTTCGGCTTCCAGCCCCGAAGTGCCCGGGCCAGGTGCACGAGACAGGTGTGTTAGAGGCTTGACACCTGTGCTGTTTCACCTCTGCAGGCCTGTGGCTTCTCTGCAGACTGTACGAGCAAAGGTCTTCATGCTCACCACCCCAGAGACTGCCTGTACTACCTGAGGGACTGGAGCCTGACCCGCCTCCACCTGCTGCTGCAGGTGAGAGCCAGCAGATCGACCTGAGGTGTTCAGCTGTTCTGTGATCAGTGCTTTACAGGTGTGCTGTCTCCTGTCTCAGCATTACAGAGCGTCTCCCTCCTGGTTGGAACCGCCCACGGTCAGCTCACCTGACGCCGCTCTGCCAGGTGAGACCTCTACCTGTCTACCTGGCATCTCCTTTGTCCCAGAGTCACTGACAGGTGTGTTCCCGTTCCAGCATCCTGTCCAGTGCTGGAGCTGAGAGACGATGGCAGCCAGAGGGAGGAGCCCTGTGGTCGACCTGCGTTACCTGAACACCGAGGATACTGCCAGTAAGACCACAGCTCCCAGTAAAGATGCTCTGCCAGATGTGCGTGGTCTCAGAGGCTCCGCCCCTTTCTCCTGACAGGTCACACTATAAGGAGCGTTTGGTGGAGCTGATTAACCGTCACCGTGCTGACCCGGCGGTCCTCTTCAGTCTGGCAGAAATAAAGGCGGAGCTTCAGCGTTGGCATGTTACCGTTCCGACCAGAAAACCCGAGGAGCCAGAGCCGCTCTACACTCACCGCCTCCGCATGGTCAGTGACATCACCCGATGGTGTTGTTCGTCATCAACAATAAAGTCTGATGTGCTGTTTCAACCATGTTTCTTTTCAGCCAATCACAGTGCAGAATTCTGTCTCTCTGCAGACGCTGACCAATAGCGCTCCTCTCAGGAAACAGCGCTGCTCTCCGGTTAAACGTATGAACAACCTCTGTCCTCTGCCCGTCACCGTGCCTGCTGGAGCCCCGCCCCCTCATGTGCTGCTAAGCGATTGACTTCACCCACTCCTAAAGTATGACCTCCCACTACGCCCATCAGTTGCTATGACAGGGCGGCCCTGTGTTGTGATTGGCTCAGCACAAATATACTAATTAGGGACCAAATTCGAGCAGCCAATCAGAGTTCAGCTAACAAGCTAACGATGGAAGCTGCCAGTTTTAGCATCTGTTAGCATGACCTGAGCAGATTCAGGAGGCGGAGTTTGAGCATCCTGTTTGTGTTCGCTGCACTTTACCTGTTTAACCGAGTTTGATGAATAAATGCTGTCCTAACACACCTCGGCGTCCTGTCGTCCGTTTCCACGGTGACCTGCCGTCAGTCACACAAACACGCGGGGGCGTTCATAGAAAACTTTTATTTAAACTTTCCAAACAGGAAGGAGTGCTCCTCCTCACACCTGTCAGTGTGTTCAGCTCTTCTTCGGTGGTGTGGCGTCGTCTCTGGGCAGACTGAAGGGGACGATCGCTTTGACGAGTCGCTCTGTGATTGTTTTGCTGTTAGCGGCGAGGATCCTCCTGGACATCAGGTCCACGTCGCCACCTGAACACGGAGACACCGTTAGCTGAAGACACCTGAGCGGGGAAACGTGCTGTTGATGGGTTAGCTTACCTTCGACGTCCATCAGCACGCCGCCGGCCTCGGACACGATCAACGACGCGGCAGCTACGTCCCAAACGTGGATCCCGATCTCGTAGTACGCCTCCACGCAGCCCGACGCCACCAGACACATGTTGATGGCGGCGGAACCCGCCCCGCGCACCCTGAGACAGATGGACACGTCAGCTGTGGGAAAACAAGCGTGCAGTGATGTCAGCGTGGCGGCAGCCTTACCCGTGAACGGGGAGGCAGAGGATGTTTCGGAGGCTTTGGAAGATTTTATCAACGACGTCGGCGTCTCGGTCCGATCCAAACTCCGTGGCCACCATCGCCTGTTCCACGGCTGATGACATCACACACAGATAAACAGGTGACCGACTGTCCGCATAAGTGATGTCACTGATTTAGTGGTTATTGATTCGCTGAGCGCTGACCTTCCTGCCGGGACACCTGCAGCGGCTCGCCGTTACAGAATGCTCCCTTTCCACGCCTCGCCGTGAACATCTTGTCCTCCACACAGCTGAACACAACGCCAAACTCCACCTGAGGGAGGGGAAGAAGAGGTCAACAGGTGAGGTCGTTCATGCTCATCCTCGGGTGGCCTGAACACCTGAAGCTACCTGTCGGTGTGTAGAGAGCGCTGACGATTTGCCAGCAGGCTCAGTAAACTGGTCGCGAGGCCAGTGATGTGGTGGGGGTGGAGCTGGACTCCGTTAGGGTGGTGTCAGAGAGGCAATGCTGTCTAAGGCAAAGACAATGATGGACAATACCTCCACCCACTCCATGGCGTGCTACCTACAGGAGCACGCTCAGTGAGAAGCTGAGATTACCCATAATGCACCACTCATCTCCAGTAGTTACAGCCCTTTGCACGCGCTCTGATGTTGCTGTTAGTCCTTGATATTTATCATCGAGTGATTTCTATATATTTGATTTCTTAAATCTGCTACAGTTTCTGTACTGCAGCAACTGTAACACGTTACCTGAGGGATCAATAAAGTGATTTTCTCTTTTTAGCTGCCAAATCGCCATGGTAACAGATGCTGAGCACCTCACCCAGTCAGGAGCAGGTGAGGTGCCGCGTTTACTCTTTTGGTCATTTTATATGCTGCAGCAGATGGACCGCCATCGCTTGCTAACGCGTGTGTGGGAACAGCCGCGCCACCTCGCCACCTAAGGAAACATTCCCAGGTGAAGCAGACGGTGGTGATGCTGCGCCTGTGGGCGAAGCTCAACTGAAGAAAGATGAAACCAGAAATGGCGCCACTCTGGAAAGTTTCCACCAGAGGGATGAGACCCGGGCTGAAGTAACCGAGGCTCACCTGAGGCCACGTCTGCACGTACACAGAGGCCACGTCTGCACGTGCACCGAGGCCACGTCTGCACGTGCACGGGTATTTTTGAAAACGGAGATTTTCTGTTTTCTTTTTTAAATCCCGTCCACAGACGCAGAAATGAAGGAAAACGCTGCTAGCAACATGCCAAAGCAACAGGTGGCGCTATATTCCTAACCGTGTAGAAATGTTGGCCAATCAGAAGCCTAGAAGCCTCGGTGGGAAATAGTAAACAAAGCTGGGGCATCGAAGCAGAACTGAGTCCTGTTTGTGGAGGCACACTAACTGTGTTTGTGTGTGTGTGTGTAAACACTGCAGAGAGTGAAATTAACAGTATTTTGTCCAAGTCCACCATTGTAGAAATTCATTCCACCTAAACAAAAACATGGCGCACAGCGTGATGTCAAAAGAGGCGCACACCTTTGACGCTGCGTTTTCTCCGTGTTCCTCGTCCACACGTAAACGCAAAATCTGAGTTTTTAAAAATCTCCGTTTTCAGTGACCGAAAACGCCGTTTACGTGTGGATGAAAGGTGCAAACGCATAGAAACATCTGCGTTTTCAAAAATCCCCGTGCACGTGTGGACTGAGACTCACTGTGGCTCAGGTGAGAGCGTCAGAGTGGATCAGAGACGAGGCAGGAGGTTAAAACCTTTCCTGGGACAAAGTCCTTCATCAAAGCATCAACAGACTGCAGAGAAGCTGCTCCATCCACTGCCGTCTGTTTTACAGAGAAACGTGTGATTCACCTTTACACCGAGGCTGGCGGCAGCGTCTGTTTTACATGCAGCACACGGGTGCGTCAGAGGCGGGGTTAGCGACCCCGTTTTCACTTTTCAGTATTTATTGCTGCTCATTAATAAGACAGAAGGATTTCTTATCTGATTAATCGACTGCTAAAGTCAGGGCTGCAGCGCCGTGATGTCGCTGCTGATGTCAAAGGTCAGGAGGTGGGTGCTGATGTGGACTCAGACCTGTTTGTTGATGGCGAATCCGATGGAAATGGCAACAAAAGGAAACCTGTGAAGGAGAAACAGACGCAGGAAGTTAACGT